TAACAAATACAAACGTCAGAATAATCTGAATTAACTTTATTCAAATAACATTTTTGAATATTAAAATACTAATATAATTGGAATATCTAAATTCGTTTTCATATCTAAATTAGTATTCTACCAATTTAGGATAGTATAACGATATTCTAAATAAAAAAATACTTTGAATGTAGTGTTCCATTTTTGATGAAAAATTTCACCATTTTTTTATTTATTCTATATTCTTAATTTTATTTTTCTATTCCTTTCTAAAATTTTCTAAAATGTAATATATTTAGAATAAGAAAAAATGTAATATATTTAGAATAAGAATATAGAATAATAATATATATATAGATATAGAATTTCGAAAATTCTAATAGATTCTCTAATAGACTTCTTTTAATTCGTTAATGTTTAGTAAACAAATATTACACTTTAATTGATTCTTTATTTGAATCTTGACAATTGACTAAAAATTGGTTATTATGATTTCGAGTAAGCCGCTATGGTGAAATTGGTAGACACGCTGCTCTTAGGAAGCAGTGCTAGAGCATCTCGGTTCAAGTCCGAGTAGCGGCATGATATCTTATCCTCCAAAAGAATAAGTCCTATAATGAACTCAATTCCTATTTCTATTCCTAGTATTCTGATTTTTATTTATTCTATATGATATTTTCAACTTTAGAGCATATATTAATTCATATATCGTTTTCGGTTGTATCAATTGTAATTTCAATTCATTTGATAACTTTATCGGTCAATGAAATCCTAGGATTATATGATTCGTCCAAAAAAGGCATGATAATAACTTTTTTCTGTATAACAGGATTGTTAGTTACTCGTTGGGTTTTTTCGGGCCATTTACCATTTAGTGATTTATATGAATCATTAATCTTTCTTTCATGGAATTTTTCCATTTTTTATATGGTTCCATGCTTCAAAAAGCATAAAAACAACTATTTAAATACAATAATCGCACCAAGTGTTATTTTTACCCAAGGCTTTGCTACTTCAGGTCTTTTAACCGAAATGCAAAAATCCGTACTATTAGTACCTGCTCTACAATCCCATTGGTTAATTATGCATGTAAGTATGATGATATTGGGTTATGCAACTCTTTTATGTGGATCATTATTATCAGTAGCTATTTTAGTCATTTCATTTCGAGAACTCATACAAATTATTGGTAAAAGCAATAATTTGTATTTTTTAAATGAATCATTTTCGTTTGCTGAAATCAAATACATGAATATGAATGAAAGAAATAATGTTTTACAAAAAACTTCTTTTTCTTCTTCTAGAAATTATTACAGGTCTCAATTTATTCAACAATTAGATCGTTGGGGTTACCGTATTATTAGTCTAGGTTTTATCCTTTTAACAATAGGTATTATTTCAGGAGCAGTATGGGCTAATGAGACATGGGGGTCATATTGGAATTGGGATCCAAAGGAAACTTGGGCTTTTATTACTTGGACTATATTCGCAATTTATTTACATACTAGAAAAAAGAAAAAAGTAGAAAATTTAAATTCTTCAATAGTGGCCTCTATGGGCTTTTTTATAATTTGGGTATGTTATTTAGGAATAAATCTATTAGGAATAGGACTACATAGTTATGGTTCATTTACATCTAATTGAATTAAAGTGAGTGAAAAAAAACTTCACAAATATAAATATGGAAACCATTCATTATATTATATATAAGAAAGAATATATATATATGAAGCAAACTTCCCATAAATCATCGAGAACCCTTTAAATCAAGTAATGTAGTAGTGATTCAAGGGTTCTCACAAACAACAAGCATATTCAATTACAACTTAAATTCATTTTTTTGTAAGTTAATACAAGAAAAAAATATTTTGTTTATTGTACATAAGATTTTTTACTATTTTTTCTTTTTTTTTTTTCATTTATTCATATTCACGAAAACTATCTATAAAAAATTGGATAGAATAGCTTCAACTTTGTTAGCCGAGAATGAGAAAATGAAATCCGGATAAATACCAATACATAGTACGGGTATAAGGATCGAAATTGAAATAAATAATTCTCGTGGCCCAGAATCAAAAAAATAAGAGTTTGGTGTATTAAAAAGCTTGTATCCATAGAACATCTGCCGTAAGATAGATAATAAATAAATGGGAGTTAATATCATTCCAATTGCTGTTACAAAAGTGATTAGTATTTTTGTAATTAAAAGATATTTTTGGCTGGTAATTATTCCAAAAAAACTATCAATTCTGCAACAAAACCGCTCATGCCCGGCAATGCAAGAGAAGCCATCGATAAAATAGTGAAAATGGTGAATATTTTTGGCATTGGGATAGCCATTCCGCCCATTTCGTCGAGATAAAGAAGACGTAGTCTATCATAACTAGTTCCCGCCAAGAAAAAAAGCGCAGCGCCAATAAATCCATGAGAGATTATTTGTAAAATAGCGCCATTAAGTCCCGTATCGCTTATAGAACTAATTCCTATAATTAAGAAACCCATATGAGATACTGAGGAATAAGCTATTCTTTTTTTTAAATTACGTTGACCAAGAGATGTTGAAGCTGCATAGATTATTTGAATTGAACCTAATAGCATTAACCAGGGGCAAAATATAGAATGAGCGCGGGATAATAATTCCATATTAATTCGAACCAATCCATATGCTCCCATTTTTAATAAGATTCCGGCTAAAAGCATACAAGTGCTGTAATGTGCCTCCCCGTGGGTGTCTGGTAACCATGTATGGAAAGGTATAATTGGCGATTTGACAGTAAAAGCAATAAAAAATCCCATATAGAAAATTATTTCCAGCGCCATGGGATACGATTGATTAGTTAATGATTCAAAATTTAATGTTGGTTCATTAGAACCATATAAACCCATAGCCAGAATTCCCATTAATAAAAAATGGAACTTCCTGCAGTGTACAAAATAAACTTTGTAGCTGAATACAAACGTTTCTTACCCCCCCACATAGATAAAAGTAGATAAACGGGAATTAATTCTAATTCCCACATGATGAAAAAAAGTAAAATGTCTCGAGAAGAAAATGATCCTATTTGACCACTATACATTGCTAACATCAGGAAATAAAAAAATGGTGATTCTCGAGTAACCGGCTGAGCTGCTAACGTAGCTAAAGTGGTGATAAATCCTGTCAATAAAATGGGTCCTAAAGAGAGTCCATCTATTCCGAATCTCCAGTAAAAGTCAAAAAAATGGATCCATTTATAATTCTCTGTCAATTGAATTAGTGGATCATCCAATTCTAAATGATAACAAAATGCATAGGTTGTTAGAAGGAGATCCATTAAGCATATACAAATAGTATACCACCTAATCACCTTATTTCCTTTATGAGGAAATAAGAAAATTAAGGAACCTCCAGCTATTGGCAAAACTACAATTATTGTTAACCAAGGAAAATAATTCGTGATAAAAATAAGATATACTTAGACCAGAAAAACCCGCGCTCAAAATAGAAAAGCAATTTTTTTTCTATTTTGAGCGCGGGTTTTTGTCAGTAAAAAAAAACGTATTTGTGTGGTGTTTTTTGAAACGTATCAATAAGCTAGACCCATGCTTCGAGTTGTCTCATGCCATAAATAAACTCGAACACTTAAGAAATCCGTCGGACAGGCGGATTCACACCTCTTACAACCAACACAGTCCTCTGTTCTTGGGGCAGAAGCAATTTGCTTAGCTTTACATCCGTCCCAAGGTATCATTTCTAATACATCTGTGGGGCAGGCTCGAACACATTGAGTACATCCTATACATGTATCATAAATCTTTACTGAATGTGACATTGAATCTATAGAAATCTTTGAACATCAAAAATTGAAAATTTTCGATCTAGTAAACTCGTAAATGAATTCTATATTTAGACACCAGATGAATCAATGATTTATCAGAATTTTGCTAATAAAAATAGACTTATAGATCAATTCATAAGAAGAGAATAGGACCAAAATACTTTGATTTCTTTTATTTATTTTCACAAACATGATTCTAAGTTGCGTATCATACATGCTAATTTGAATTGATAAATATTACACTATTCATTCTAAATTCTACTTTTTATGATTTATTATAATCAATACTATTTATTCAACAAATTCAATTGATTCATACGGGTTGATTTTTTGTTACGATAAATTGAGGAAACAATAGCAGGTCCGATAGCTGCTTCAGCGGCTGCAACAGCTATAACAAAAATTGAAAAAATATTTCCTTTTAATTGGCGACTATCAAAAAAATCAGAAAAGGTTACGAAATTTATATTAACTGCATTCAGTATAAGTTCAAGACACATAAGGGCTCTAACCATATTTCGACTCGTGATTAATCCATAGATACCCATAGAAAATAAATAGGCACTCAAAATAAGTACATGCTCGAACATCATTGACCAACTCCTTACCAATTTTGATTCATTTCATCAATATGAACAAGAATTCAACGGAAATAACTGGGAGAAAATTAAACAAAATAGAATTCAGATTTAGATTATTAGTTAGAATAAGTTCTTATTGGCGAGCCACAACAATTGCACCTATCAAAGCAGCTAAAAGAATTATGGAAATGAGTTCAAATGGAAGAAAAAAATCTGTTGATAAATGAATTCCAATTTGTTGACTAGTACTTATAAAATCTTGTTCTATAATCTGATTTGGTCTCACAGTCCAAATAATCCCGTACCATGATGTATCTGGAATAGTAGTTATTAGTGAAACAAAAATACTTGTACAAACCATCAAAGTAATTCCATCCCCAATGGTCCAAAGACGAAAATCTTGGTAATATTCTGACCTATTCATGAACATTACAGCAAATATGATTAAAACATTTATAGCGCCCACGTAAATAAGTAGCTGCGATGCAGCTACAAAATGGGAGTTTGATAAAATATAGACTAAAGATATACAAACAAGAACCAGTCCCAACGAAAAAGCAGAAAAAATTGGGTTGGTAAGTAATATTACTCCTAGACTTCCTAATATAAGACCCGATCCCAGAAAGACTAAAAGAAAATCATGTATCGGTTCAGGCAAATCCATTATATGTAAAATAAGAGATAAATAAATCGAAATTTCATGACTTTATTGATATGACCAGGAAAAAAATTATATACTAAATACTAAATTTCTCTCCGCATTGAATTCAATCAAATCCTAAGATAATAAGTGTGAATTGCTATAGGTACAGTTATAGGATCAATGTCATTCCATTCTTTCTATGAAAGAGTAGTTTGAAACTATACGAAAACTAAAGTATATATATAATATATGTATCGAATATTTCTACTAATAGAATATCTAATATAAAAATATCTACCTCTAAGATTTATTCTTTTTTTTTAATAACATTTTTCTTATTATCCAAATTTATATTATTCATATATATTATTCAAATACATATATTTATATATAGAAATATATCGAATATGATTTGATTTATATAATCTTTATTTTTAGAAAAAGATTTTATAATTATATTATAATTAACTTAATTTTATTTGAATTGTTCGAATTGTATAATCATCAATTACTGACACTGGTAAACGGCCCAAAGCAATTTGATTATAATTCAATTCGTGACGATCATAAGTCGAAAGTTCATATTCTTCAGTCATTGATAAACAATTTGTTGGACAATACTCAATACAGTTACCACAAAATATACAGATTCCGAAATCAATACTGTAATTAAGCAATCGTTTCTTTCGAATATCAGTTTCCAGTTTCCAATCAACAACGGGTAGATCTATGGGACATACACGAACACATACTTCACAAGCAATGCATTTATCAAATTCGAAATGTATTCGACCACGGAAACGTTCCGATGTGATTATTTTTTCATAAGGATATTGAATAGTTACAGGTAAACGATTTGCGTGAGATAAGGTAATCGTGAAACTTTGACCAATGTACCTTGCAGCTCGGACTGTTTGTTGACCATAATTCATAAATCCAGTTATCATAAGGAACATATCGTGAATATCTCTGATTATTTTTGTTTTTTTTCTTTCTCTTGTTTGAGACAAGTTATGAATATAGAAGGTCCGTTTTTTATAGTGAAAACAATTGAGACGAAGTTGTTAATAATAGATTACCGAGAGAAATGGGTAAAAGAAACTTCCATCCAAAATTTAATAATTGATCTATTCTTAGCCTAGGTAAAGTCCATCTTGTTGTGATAGAAACGAATAAGAACAAATAAGTTTTAGCTAGTGTAATAAAGATACCAATTGTTGTTACAAAAACTCCATATGCTTTATTTATTTCAAAAAATTCAGAAACAAATATGTACGGAATAGAGATATTCGGACCACCAAAGTAAAGAACTGTTACAAACAAGGAAGAAATTAATAGGTTTAAATAGGAAGCAATGTAAAATAAGCCAAATTTGATACCCGAATATTCGGTTTGATAACCCGCTATTAATTCTTCTTCCGCTTCTGGTAAATCAAAAGGTAATCTTTCACATTCTGCTAAAGAAGAAATTAGAAAAACGATGAAACCCATAGGTTGACGCCACAAATTCCATCCCCAAAAACCATATTTGGATTGCGCTTCAACTATATCAACTGTACTTAAGCTGTTAGATAATCCTAGTCGGTGATAACATTACTGTTCCCATCTCTATTACAGAACCGTACATGAGATTTTTCACCTCATACGGCTCCTTTTAAGCCTTCAATAAATCTAAGGACCAGACCGATTATTTATCTCTTGATATATTTATAAAATGGATAAGATTCGATTTTATCGGACGGTTCTGAATTAGACCAATTGAATTCTGTCTGTTTTGTTTTATTTAATGAAAAAATTAATAATAAAGAAAAATACATTTCAAATTTTATTTGAATAAATAAAAGATACAAAAAGTACTTCTGAATTGATCTTATCCCTTTAAAAAAAAATTGGAATTTGTTGAGTAATAACTGAATTCTTCAATAAAATACTCTTTATAGAATTCTCAATAACTTCTCCATCATTTTCGATTACAAAAAAGAATTATACATTCGTTTTCTGAATTATGACATGAATTCCATCTTCCTAGAATATAGATGTAAGAAAAAAAAAGAAAAAGGGTATCACTTTTTCTTTCGCTCCTAGCCTTTTTTTGTGCAACTAAAAAGGGACTCAAAAAAAAAAGTGAATTAATGAAAACAAAAGTAAAGGATTATTTCGTTCCTGATAGTCATTTATTTAATCAGTGGATGGGAGCATACTCTGGATCGGAATTGTAGGGAGTACTGCCTGATTTTTTCTACCAACTTAAAGCCCCAATTAGTATTCTTTTTCTATTATGTATAAATGCTCTTTTGGATATTTAAAAAAATTTGCGTTACTAATCCTTTGTGTATTTTGGTGTTTCTACCCATCCATTCATTTTTTTATTAAACCCCTTTAGTTATGTTAATACATGTATGATAATTCATACAAATGATAGTGAAAACTCAAAAAAAAGGTTGGTTTTTCTTTTGTGCCCGCTTCAAGACAGGATGACTAATCAACCAACCTTGGGGGTAAATGACCTCTTCTACTGAAGAAATAGAATAGAATTTTTTTTTTCACTTAATTCTTATACATGGAAAATGAGACTCAATATTTTGACTGCAATTTTAACTCCTCATACTATCTATTAACTATAAGTAATATATAACTATAAGTAATATAGTATATATATAGAATTAATAAATTCTATTCAATAGAAGCTGTTTTATTTCACTCATATAACTATCTGATTAAATTCTTCAATCCGAATTTCGAAAAAGAATAATGATAAGGATATATATTCAATTTATTATCCTTCTTTACTAGAAAGCACTATAAAGAAAGGGGGGAGTATAGCAATAGTATCGAAAAGCTTCTGTCTCAACGAATCGCACGTAGAGATATTGATAACACACATAGAGTTAATGGTATTTCATAACTAATCGATTGAGCAGCAGCTCGTAGACCACCCAAAAAGGAATATTTATTATTTGACCCATATCCTGACATAAGAAGTCCAATGGGAGCAATACTTGAAATAGCAATCCATAAAAAAACACCGATATTGAGGTCAGATAAAACAAAGTTATAATTAAAAGGAATTACTGAATAGCTTATTATAATTGATATGACTGATATGAATGGTCCGATACTGAATAAATTAATATCTCCTCTAGATGGAATAAGATTCTCCTTGAAAAGTAGTTTTGTTCCGTCTGCTAGAGCTTGAAGAACTCCAAAAGGACCAGCATATTCAGGTCCAATACGCTGTTGTATCCCTGCGGATATTTCTCTTTCTAACCATACAATTGCTAGTACACTTATTGTGATTCCTAATACAAGAATAAAAATAGGGGCAAATACCCATAGAATTCCATATACCTCTTTAAAAGATTCCAATCTGAAAAAAAAATGGATATCTTGTATTTCTGTTGTATCAATTATCATTTCAACGATCAACCTCTCCCATAATGATATCTATGCTACCTAGTATTGTCATAATATCGGCCAATTTCATTGTTTTAACTAATTGAGGAAGAATTTGCAAATTGATAAAACCCGGTGGACGAATTTTCCATCTCCAAGGAAAACCATTTTGATCACCTATTAGAAAAATTCCTAATTCTCCCTTAGGAGCCTCAACTCTTACATAAAGTTCTTGTTTCGGCAATTCAAAAGTCGGAGACGCTTTTTTACTAATAAATCGATATTCAAAATCATTCCATTCTGGCTCTGTTTCTTTATCTAAGCAGCGAATTTCTAAATTTTCATATGGTCCGCCGGGAATTCCTTCCAAAGCCTGTTGAATAATTTTTATAGATTCCGTCATTTCACCAATTCGAACTAAATAACGAGCTAACGAATCTCCTTCTTTTTGCCATTGAACTTCCCAATCAAATTCCTCATAACACTCATAATTATCAACTTTACGTAGATCCCATTGTATTCCGGAAGCCCGAAGCATTGGTCCTGATAAACCCCAATTTATTACTTCCTCTCCATCAACAACGCCTACTCCCTCAACCCGTTCTAAAAAAATAGGATTTCGCATAATAAGTCTTTGATATTCAACAACCTTTGTTAAAAAATAATCGCAGAATTCAAAACATTTATCTATCCAACCATGAGGTAAATCAGCCGCTACCCCTCCGATACGAAAAAAATTATGCATCATTCTCATACCTGTCGCAGCTTCGAATAGATCATATATTAATTCTCTTTCTCGGAAAATATAGAAGAAAGGGGTTTGTGCACCAATATCTGCCATAAAAGGTCCCAGCCACAGTAGATGAGAAGCTATACGACTCAACTCTAACATAATTAC